TGTTGTATATTTTAGGATGCTGCTGCTTGGCTAGAATACTTTGAGTCCAAGGCTTTGGAACAGCAGGAAGCTGCGCGAAATGGTACTCCTAAGCCAGACGCATCTATAGCCAGCAAAGGCCACCTAAGGTCAAACAACMTCTTTAGATATCTTCTTATTTGATTTGTATAAGTTTTCTATGTTGTTTGAATGTATTATCAGTCAAGTGTACTCCCWAGTCATATCCTTAGGTTGATAATGTTTTGCAGTGTGTCCGATCTACTCGATTATATCAATCCTACCCATAACGCAAAAGGGAAAAACAGTGTGGCAGCAAAGAGGAAGAGCTACATTATGAAGGTATGCTTTTGTTTTTCTTTGATAGCTTTCCACTTAATGGTTAAAAGGCTTAAATGGTTGGACTCGTGTTATGTGTAGCTAAAGGAAAAATCCAAGCAGAGCATTGTTTCTGAAAATTTAACAGAAACTCCGAGAGAACAGCAAAAGGAGATATCTGAGGAGGAGGCGGAAMCAACTGYATCAGAAGAAGGTAAATCAAGCGACGGGAATCACGAAACAATTCTTGCACAAGTTGAASYACCACCTTCTCCTCCAGTCATTGAGGAGGCTATTATGGATAATAGTKATCCAATTACTCCAAGTGATAATTCAACTGAGACACCACACCCTGATGGTAGTGAAGATGGATGGCAGCCGGTGCAAAGACCGAGATCTGCTGGATCAWATMGTCMCAYGRTGAAGCAAAGACGAGCATCCATTGGGAAGYTATATACYTATCAGAAGAAGAATGCTGAAGCTGATATRGATAACCCTCTMTTCCAGAATGCTTCTCAGCAGAACGCCAAATACTACATTCTCAAGAAGCGAACASCYTCARATGCAAGCWATGGGGATCATCATTCTCCCAGTRTAGCAACTCAAGGCACCAAATTTGGCAGGAAAYTAGTTAAAWCCTTGGCGWATSGGGTTAAGTCGATGCAGCCATCTTCTGGTGACACCAAGACTGCTGCTGAAAGTTCAGAAGAAGAAGGGCTGAAGACAGATGCTTCTTCTGTTGTACCATCTGCTTTGTCTAGTAATGTGCAAAGCGAGGCCRACSWCMCGAAAAACTCTGTTGTAAGTCTTGGAAAATCTCCATCCTACAAGGAAGTAGCATTGGCACCACCTGGCTCCATTGCCAAGTATCAAGTCTGGGCTCCACAAGCCGAAGTTT